TTTTGATACCATTTTTCCTAATTTTGCAAAAAAAAGAAATGTGATCTGAGCCAAGAAGAGTTAGGTGCTCTCATTCTTTGCCTCATGGTTTCAAAGTTGTCCTCCACTGGGTTGTACATTAGAATCAAATGAAGAACTTAAAAGTTATACTGATACCAGGTCCTACCCTCAGATAATTCTGATTTAATTGGTCTAAGATACAGCCTGGTCATTATTAAGTTTGTGTTGTTTTCTTTTTATTTGTTTGTTAGAACTTGGTATTTCTAATATACAGCCAAAGCTGAAAATCATTTGTCTAAAAWTTTTTTTTCCAAATAGAGTAACATTTATCTGGAGAGAAGGATCACTAATGATGAGACTTAAGGCTCTGCTTCACAACCAGACCCTGTGAATATTTTATAAACCTTGGGTACATGCAGAAGAGTCTCCAGAATACGAAGATGGAATGAATGGAAAACCAGTACCCTGGAAAACAGAATTTGTGATAAAATACTAAGGTGAATCTCTAGTTACATAAATTTAACCTACAATTGAGGATTAAATTACATAAGTACAGAATAGAGAAAATAGGTTTAAGGATGACTTTTATGTTTTTTCTTTCACAATAACTTCTAAGTTCTTAGTCTACTCATCCCTCCATATCTGTGGGTTCCATCTCCATGGATTCAACCAACCATTAAAAATGTTAGAAAAAATTGCATCTGAACTGAACATGTATAAATTTTTTCTTGTCATCACTCTTTAAATACTATAACAGCTATTTACATAGCATTAAGTATTATAAACAGTCTAGAGATGATTTAAAGTATATGGGAGGATATACATAGGTTATATGCAAACACAACATCACTTTATATAAGGTAATTGAGCATCCTCAGATTTTGACATCATGAGGGGTCCTGGAACCAGTGTCCTATAGGCACCAAGAGGCAACTGTAAATGTTATGTGACTACCTAAGAAGCTACTTTGACTTAGACCAAACTCTTTTTTTTAAAAAAAAGATACATAGCCTCTGGCTACTTTACTTCTCTACACTTCACTTTGTTCATATATACCAATAACTTTTAGTAATGCTTCTGGTATTTTAATGTGCCCACAACTCCCTTGAGGATCCTATAAATATATAGATTCATAGTCAGTAGATCTGGTTTTAGCCTGAGATTCTGCATGTCTAACAAGCTCCCAGATGCTGCTGATGCTGCTGGCCCACCCCATAGACCAGAGCTTTGAGAAGCAAAGTCTTAGAAAATTGTTAGGAGGACCAAGAGAAATGACCTACATAAAGTGCTTGTTGGTACCCTACCAGAAAAAAAAAATAAATAAATAAAAACAAAAAAACACAGGAAAGTTATAAAAACATGTTTAAAAACTAGAAGTTATATGATCTAATCCTATTGTCTTTCCAGACGTGGACTACAGTAGGTCCAGATAATTTAAGATTGTTCCCTCCTAACAGCCAAAGGTGTATAATGGAGAAGAGGGATGAGACTAATTCTGAAAAAAGTATAAACAAGATCAATAAGTAGAAGTGTACGAGAGCTTTTAATTCCTACAAAGGAAATCTTCCAACAATAAATGCAGCTCTACAACCAATTGGCCTATTGACAATGAAGTCTCCAGTTACAAACTATAAGCATAAACCAATTGGTGATAATCAGAAAATATTCTGAATATTCAGATCTCAGGTTACAATACAACTAAGCTTGTCTACCTAAAGAGGCATCACACACTTAATACGTACAAAATGTGAAAAACAAAATAGAAAACTTGTCATTTCCCTCCCCACTCCAACCTTCTTTGTGAAATCTTCTGCTCAGCAAATGGAATTACTTAGGTCAAAAACTTTTAGGATCATCCTAATATATTTTTCATCTTTCACATTCCTTCCATCAAAAATACTAGTGGGGCTGGGGATGTAGCACAGTGGTAGAGTGCTTGTTTAGCATGCATGAGGTCCTAGGTTCAATTCCCAGTATCAAAAATTAAAAACAAACAAACAAACAAAAAGTTTAGTGGCTGTACCTTCAAGTTGTGTCCACAATCCAGTTACTTCTCACCACCTACATTAGCACTATCCTAATCTATCCTTAACTATCACCTCTTTCTGGATTCCTGAAATAGCTTCCTAACAGTTTTCTCTGTCTTTATCCTTCCTCCACAGCATTTTCTCACCATAGCATTCAGTGTTGTCACTTCTCAACAATAATTAAGGCTTTGTATATATTCAGAATAAACACAAAGTCCTTACAATCATTCATAAGACCTTATATGATCTGCCCTCTTCAACCCTTGACCACATTTTTTGTCACTCTCCATTTTTTCACTCTTCTCCAATCACCTCTGACGTCACTGCTCTTTGTAGCAGTGATGTTACTGCCTCAGGACCTTTTCACTTACTCTTCTTTCTGCCCCAGGCACACTGGTCTGTGACACTGCCTTACCCTACCTCTGAAGAAATGAACAAACATCCTAGACAGAGTGTCACTCTGCTATCCATAGGGGATTATATCTAGTTTTCTCCTTTTATAACTAATATTTTTAGTGGAGTTTGAAAAAGCTAGCTACCACTGTGTGGGTATGAACAGACAATAGGCAAAGAAAGCTGGAAGGTGGCATTCAGATGGATTTCTTTAAAAAAAATGGAAGTCACCCATCTACAGACAACTCTCTCTGGGGACCCATACACCAAGGCTGCTCTACCCGATTGTTCTGCTTCACACCACACAATAGCTTTATTCACATAGTGTTGTGCAGTGTAGCTTCTCCAGCCACTCAGCTTTTAGGGCTCACAGATTAAGGCCACTCTTGGCTTGCACAAACAGCTTCAGCAAGATGGAGATAAATGCATCTGATGTCAGAATTAATGTGAGCAAGGCAAGCAAGGAAGGAAATGGAGGGAGATTTGGCCTGAGCTGAAGTGCCCTGAAGGAAAGGGTGCACTTTTGATGTCATCTTTGGCCTCATTTCCTCTCACCTTGCACTTGCAGTCTCCCTCCCCTGCCTCATGAGCAGGCTACTTTCTGACACAAACTAAAGAGCCAGAGGGGCATGCGGCTACCTCAAAACCATGTGCCCTAGTTTAAGAAAGCAGAGCACTGCTTTCAGGAACTCAAAGAGCAGCAGGGCAGACTCCTATCTACAGCTATTTCTCAGCTAAAGAATCAGATTTCCTCTCTAAAGAGTATTCTCTGTGGCTCTTCCTCGAGGGCTGGCCAGTGTAGGGCCTGAGGAGAGCCTAAGAACATGGAATTCAGTCCCTCGATTCCAAGGAGAAGAGTGGCCAAGTGGCCCAAATGGTTTGGTGTGGTAAACATGCAATTTAGACAAGCCCACCCACCTTTTCTTATAAAGCCAAAGATGATGGCTTTTGTGGGATAACAAGGAGAGCCCATGACACAGTGTCAGGTAACAAAGCAAGACGTTTTAGCACTAACACTTGCTTTGCGTGAAGCATGTTAAAAAATGATCTTGTAATCTTGCTGTGTAAGACCAGAACATCACACACTTGGGACATATTTCTGGGACTTGTGTTGGTGAGAGGAGCACTTCATCAGCATCTCTGATCTATGCAGGGCAAAGCATCCAGCAATGAGACACACACAAGCTGGATACTAAACCTCCTGGGAAATCCAACTAGGATCACTGAATTCTCCTCTTTGAGGTAACACATTAGTGATCATTTGATAAACTTATTAATGTAACCCACAGGCAGTAGAGAACAATAATCATTCTTTTTCAAGAGAAAAAAACGCTTTGAGTATGGAAAATCTGATATAAACTTTAAACGGCTGCATTCTCCACACATATCTTGAATATCCTATCAAGGATATTCTATTTAAGTCAGGCTCAGTGTGAATCTCTTTAGGAATCAAATAATTCTCTAATATATCCTTTGGGCAAATGTATTTTTATATAATGGATTGGCTTAAAATGAGGTAAACTGGCACTGAATAATTTGCACAGCAATAGCTCATTGCCAATATTTATTACACACAGGAATATCAAAGGAAAGGCCATGTTCTCATCCCATTTTAAATAATCCAACCACAATATGCTTTTTTTTTTAATTTGAAAGTTCTTAGGTTAGGAGAATATTCAGGAAAACAATTTCTCCAGGTGAGAAGACTCTCATGCAAACATTTGGAAGGAATGAACTAATAGTGGATGAGAAGAATGCGAGACCAGGCGCCCTTGGGGAAATCAAATGGCATCACTAAAACTCCCTCCTCCAACCTTAATTGGCCAAATGCCAAAATAAATGAACTTTCCAAAGTTAGGAGCTTCTCAACTTTCACTAGGGATAACAGCAGGTTCACAAGCCATGACGGGAAAACCCACCCTAGTGTGCTGGGCGGAGGTGCCTTGGAGTCAGGCGCCCAGGCCCAGGCCACCTCCGCGCCTTGTGACCAGCAGGGAATGGGTTCAGGCCCAGCTGCCCAGAACCAGTAGCTTCCCACCTCCAGATCCCGTCCCGTCCTTTTCAGCCCAGACCAAGGAAAGAAACTAGGTGCTTAGGAGCCAAGGTAAGCAGCTCCCGGTGGGATTCAGCGGCAGCCGGGGTCCGTTCCCAACTCCCAACTTCCCAGAGTTTCCTCCGGCCTCGTCCCTCTTTTCACAGCTTGGGAGGCCGCCGGGCCTCCCCTGGCTCAAGACGCAGAGACTGGGAAGTAGAGCTCCAATATTAGAGCTCAGGAGCTGCCCCCCAGGAGCCCTGTAAAGGGGAGCGCAGGTGGCGGGCGTGGTTCCTCCTGCCCTATCCCTGCCCACCCTAACTCGGCCTCCGTTCTGCAGCCTCTGCCCGGGTCCCGCCCGGGTCCTGCCCGGTTCTAGCATCGGGCCACGGGGCACACTGCTTCTTGATTCCTCTTTAGGCTCAGTGGCCACCCCCTGCCCTCCACCAGTCCGCGTCGCTCTCCTGCTTCAGGCCCCGGTCATCCCCAAGTCCCAGCCTAGGGCCCTTTTGGTCGCGCCAGACGGCGGCAGCGGTGGCAGCACTCACCTGGGTCGCGGAGCCGGGGTCTGGCACGGTCCCGCAGGTGGTAGATGAAATCTTGGCAGCTGTCGTGCTCCAGGGCCCCACGGGCACAGAGCTCGGCCAGCAGCTGCAGCGCCTGGTGACAGAGCGCGTCCCTGGCCCCGGGCATCGCCCCCCCGCATCCTCGGACCGCGCCGGGCAGGCGGGCGCGGGAGACAGCCCTCCGCCTGCCAGCTCAGAGCCGCCGCCGCCGGGCGGTCCGCGCTCGCCGCCAGAGACCCGCCAAGAAACGTTCCGAGCTCAAGCCGGAGCCCCAGCCGGCCCGGCCTCCCACCGGTTGCATGCAGCTCTTCCCCAGCTGGCCGGTCGGGCTTTCTCTCTCTCCCGCCCGGCCCCTCGGTCCCTCCTCCAGCGCGGAGGGGAGGTGGCGCCGCGCAGCCCAGCGCGCCTCTAGCCTCGCGCTCCGCCCGCCACTCGCTGCCGCCGGGGGGCGGGGCTGGGACAGAGGTGCGCGCCGCGGGGTAGGCTCGCGGCGGCCCTCGTTTGGGCGCCCACCGAATACCGGGGGCGCTTGCCGGCTTCTGGCGTAGCGCGGACCGAACTCGACTCGAACCTCGCACTCGGAACAGCCGCGCCCAAGCTTGGAGAGTGTGAGCATGTGCGTGCTTCGGACGCTCTCGCCACCCAGTTCCTCTGCCGTGATGCAAAACCAAGCACCCCTTCCACTACTTCTTGCAGCATATGTCCCAAGGCACATTCTGGGATGAGTGGCGCTAAGGTTGCAATCTGGACCACACCCATAGAAAACGGAGTGCTTGCCTCGAACTTGGAAAGCGCCTCCTGGCAGAAACCATGGACCTGAGGGCTCTAGACGCCCAAATTCTGGGTTTGGAGCCAAGAGTTAACAACAAAGGAAGGATTTCACCCACGTGGTGATTTGGACAGAGTGGAAGCTCTCCTATCAAGAGGTCAAATAAATGACTCCTGCAAAGACACGGAGGCTGACCTGGTTTTCTAGGCAACTGATGGAAATCCAAGGATTGTTACATTTCCCCAGCACCCACTGGAGTGTATCCCCAGATTTTAGTATTTGGAAGGGACCTCAGAGTTATCTCTCAACCTCCCAAGTCTTCAGCCCTTCCTGCAGTAAGTTCAGAAATAATCATGAAATATTGAACTCTTTTGCTTGTGTGTCAGACACTGTACCACAAGCATTTTGTATGTATAATCTTATTTAATTCTCTGGTTGGGTCAAAAAGTCTGTATACCTATTATCCTCATTTTGCTATTGAAAAACCAGTACTCGGAAAGGTGTCATTTGCCCAAGTTCATACAGGAGAGAAGGGTACCTTTCTCCCTTTCCCTCTCCCTTTGAAGATTTCCTTAATGCTAGTGACAAGCCTCATTCTAGAACAGTTAGAAAGGAATCTCCACAGCTGGAGACGCACTCTAAGCCGTAAGGTTATGCTTTCTCTAGAGACATCTCATAGCAAAACATATTGTACAGAAAAGTATTCAAGATTCCATAGTGTTCACCCAAAATGGAAGATTTGAAATCCTGCTGTGAATGGTGCTAGGTTTCAAGTAGCTTATAGGGGAAATAGTAGAGAAAATGCAGAGTTGTGAAGAATTATTCCTAGAGAATTGCGTAAGACACATCCTCTGTCTAGGAAAATGAGGAGAGAGGAGAAACCGCTGGGAGGGAGCCTATGGATGAAGTTGAGCAGGTATTGGTACTCCAAACTTATAGAAGGTGGAAAGGCCATGTAAAACTGAAGGTGACACTGGAGACAGCATGATGTAGAAATTGGCAGAAGTGGGTGTTAAACCTGTAAAAATATAACACCTATGTCAGAAAGGAACTGAAAACAGTAAGAAATGACTTTAATAAACCAAGTAAGATATGATAAAGACCCTAGATCAGGCCTAAATCAGTAGCTGATAGAAACATCTAAATTTGAAAAACATTTCAATTATCAACAAAATTGCAACAGTAGAATGAGGAAGAAATGAAAGACACTGAAATTTCAAAAAGTATACCTGGCTCATATGCAATGAGACCCTGAGGGCACATAGAAATGCTAACCTAGAGTTGAGAGAGGGGAAACGCAATCAGCAGTGGAAAGGCAGAAACTGATTTGCCATATTGTATGGGTTCCTCCAAGAAAGAAGAACTGGAGAAATAGGAGAAAAATGTGGAATTTAAAATGTGTCTCAATRAGATGACTGGGAAGTAGCAATCAGAGAAGAAAGAAGAAAAGCTGAACAGAGGAGTCCTAGAGGTCAAGGGATGAGGAGTATTTAATAGAGGAGTGCTTAACAACATCAACTGTCAACTTTAAAACAGTTTAAAGAGAAACAAAACCAAAGAACTGTCCTTTGGCTATCGCATGTAGTAAGACATTCAAGAATTGGAATAGTTACTAAGCAACCAACCTTGTGCAAGTTAAATATTTGTGCTTCAGATTTCTCATCAGATAATACTAATAGGTGCATCATTGAATTGTTAATGAGATTACTTAAAGTAATATATGTAAATTACTAGGAACAGTGCTGCCACACAGTATGGGCTCAATCAATGTTTTTTGTTTTTAGTATTATGTGTCTACTACAATGTACTAGGTGCTGAACACATTTTCTTAATCTATTACTCACAACATCCCAAAGTAGTGAATGTTTTACAGCCATAAGCCACATAACAAAGTTTTGGTAGATAATGGACCACATGTATGATTATAATGAAGCTGAAAGATTCCTATCACCCAGTGATATCTTTGCTGTCATAATGTTATAGCCCAATGCATAACTCACACGTTTATGGACATGCTGGTGTAAACAAACCACTGCATTGCCAGTCATATAAAAGTATAGTAATACAATTATGAACAGAACACAGCACTTGATAATAACAAACTATTTTTACTAATTTATGTATTTACTACACTATATAGCTTATCATTATTTTAGAGTGTATTCCTTATACTTATAAAAAAAGAAAAGTTAACTTAAAATAGCCTCAGGAAGGCCCTTCAGGAGGTGTTCCAGAAGAAGGTATTATTGCAATAGGAGATCACAATTCCATGTATGTTATTGCTCCTGAAAACCTTCCAGCGGGCAAGACACGGAGATAGAAGACAGTGATATTGATGACCTTGACCCTGTGTAGACCCAGGCTAAAGTGTGTGTTTGTGTCTTAGTTTTTAACAAAAAAAGTTAAATTTTTTTAAATAGAAAAAAATCAGTAGGATAAGGATATAAACATTTTCATAAACTTTTACAATTTGTGTTTTAAATTTTATATAGTCAAAAAAATTTAATAAAAAGCTTACAAAGTAAAAATGATACAGTAAGCTAAGGTTAGTTTACTACTGAAGAAAAAAATTATAAATTTAGTGTGGCCTGTGTGTACAGTGTTTATAAAGTCTACCGTGGTATACAGTAATGTCCTAGGCTTTCACATTCACTCACCACTCACTCACAGACTCACCCAGAGCAACTTCCAGTCCTAAAAGTTCCATCCATGTCATGGTAAGTGCCCTGTGCAAGTATGCCATTTTTTAAATCTTTTTCTCCATAATTTTATTTTACCTTTCTTATAGTTACACAAGTACTTGCCATTGTGTTACAATTGCCTACAGATTCAGTACAGAAACATGTTATACAGGTTTGTAGGAGCAATAGGCCATACCATGAAGCCAAGTTAAGCAGTAGGCCAGAGCACCTCGGTTCGTGTAAGTACACTCAGATGTTCAAACAACAAAATCACCTAAGGTTGCATTTCTCATTATCAAGCAACACGTTGACTATTTCCTACTTTACAGATGAAGTAAAGTCATGTGGTTAAATAATTTGCTCAAGGACAAATTGGTACATTGTCTCCAAAGACAGTTACAGGCATCTTTCCCATTTCACATGGCCTTGAACAATGTGACTTCACTATTCCTCCCATCAAGAAGTTATCTACTGGATATTACTGTACACTTATGTAGACTTTATAAACACTGTACACATAGGTACACAAAGTTTATATGTGTGCATATACGTTTATTAATATATATACATGTGTGTATATACATATATGTGTATACATTAAAAATACATATATATTTTCCCCTTCTCCCCGAATCTGGGCAGGCCTTGTGACTTACTATAATCAACAGAATGGATGGAAGAGGTCTAGGGCTTAAGAGGTCTTGAAACTTTTGCAGGAAATCCTGCTGGAGAAACATCCCAAAGAATGAGAGTCAATGTGGAGAAAACATCATAGGAGAGGTAAGAGATACTGCTATAAACTGAATTGTGTCCCCCCTCAAATTCTATTATGGTTAAGCCCTAACTCCCAATGKGACTGTATTTGGAAATATGGCCATTAAGGATGTAGTTAAAGATAAATGTGGTCATGAGAGTGAAGCCCTGATCCAATAGGATGAATGTACTTTGAGAAGAATTATCAGTGTTTGCTTTTTCTCTTCAAATGCAAGGACAGAGTGAGAAAGCAGTTGTCTGCCATCCAGAAAGTGAGCCCCCTTTAGAAGCTGAATCAGCTAGCACTCTGATCTTGGACTTACAGCCTCCAGAACTGTGAGAAAATAAATTTCTGTTCTTATAAATTTTTCAACCTCAAGTATTCTGTTACAGCAGCACAGAATGACTAAACCATGGGTATGATTCCTGGTAATGCTTTTGAACCATTAAGTTTGAGAATTTACAGTTTATATACTGAGGAAAAGAGCCTTTGGGAAAGGACATTTAAAGTCAGCTGTGATGTCCTCTTGACAATAATATTAATGATTGATTGAAACAGATAATTATTGGGCATTTGTTATATTGTTATATACCATGTATTTTATATATATTACTGCATTTCCTCCTGATCATCCAACGTGGTCACACACATTATATCTCCATTTTTACAGAGGAAAAAACAAGTTCAGAGAGATTTGATAGCTGCCCCTAAGATCCCACAGCTTATTGTTCACAGCCAGGACTCAATTTCAAGTTTGCTTGGCCCCAAAGCCTATGTTTTCTATATCATACTACTGCTTTGGATTACCTCCAGGATAAAAATACCCAATAACTACTTGTTTGACATTGTTCCAAGTCTTCTTGTCATCTTGTTCATTGTCTTCTTTATGTAATTCTTTCCAAAATGTGGCACCTGAGTTGAACCCCAACTTCCTGGTGTAGTCATTCAACAGGTGACATGCAGTATGTCCTGCTGTCTTTGTACCTCAAGTTTCTGCCTTGCTGTTTGGATGACAGTACCTCAACAAGCAGTGGATGAAATGCCATAAGTGTTTCATACTACATCCCACTCCCAAAACATAGATTCTGTACTTGGGA